GCTTGGCCTTATTGAGGCTCTCAGGGCGTAATTTAGGCTGGCCTTATTGGGATTCTGGGACGTATTGAGACTATAGGCCTCTTTGAGTTTCTGGGCCTTATTTAGATTCTGAACATTATTGAGGTTCTGGGCATTATTGAGACTCAGGTCCTCATTGATATTCTGGGCCTTATTGAGATTTTAGGCCTTATTGAGACTGTGGGCCTTATTGGGTCTATTGAGATTCTTTGCATACCTTATAAATTAGTTTCCTTATTTTGATCATACCAGCTGCAGTTATTTTGCCATTTTATATCCACATAAACAAGATATGTTTCTAGAAATGCTGATTAAACTGTGATTTCTGAGTGATTCTATTGGCCACATTCAAGGGCATTTAAATATAACAGCTTCATAATATAAAATGTTTTAGGTGTTCATGCAGTGGTGGATCTGAAAACAAACAAGACGGGTGGCCCACATTTCAATTCATAAAAAAGTGTGGAAAAATGCCTCTTTTAACCAAAAATTGGGCCTAAATTTTGAACATTTAAGGCCTATTTTCTGTATAATTTGGCCTAAAACTAAGAACTAAGGCCCAGTCATGCCCAAAAGGCCCACTTATTGAAGCCCTAAAAGATTTTTGGTGTTCTATTTGTCTGTAAATGTTCATTTGACACAAAATATTTTATCTTACATACCTGAGTTAGGTCTTGTTATTGTTATGTACTAATTGATTAATCAATGACAGAGTTTATCATTTTCTGGAAGTGTTGATTCCAAAGATACAAAACCAAATATCTGTATTAAGTATAAATAGCTACTAGGGGCAGAAATGATACATCAAATTCTGTTTTGTATCTAGCGTGGTGATACCATACAATCTATGATACAATCATGCGATAGTCTATGATATAATATTTATGGGAAATGCATCCATCTTCAGAAATATGAACATTACACATATACAGTAGTTTAAAATACAGTAGTTTAAAAAATATCAAAATATTTAGTAGAACTTACTCGTTGCAATTACAATCAACAGAGAGTGCCATCTTTCAATTGTATAGTTTCTAAATAGCTGAATAACGCTGACATAATAGATGTCACCCTTGTTTGTCTTTGATTTTCTTGGGCCACACCTCCATTCAGTTCAATGCTAGAAACTTGCAATAGTCACTTAATTTCATGATTTTTCAAAAAGTGTTGGTTGAATCTGTCTGAAACTCGAATGACATACTATCGGATGATACTGTTAATATACATATTGTGATTAAACATGAAAGTGTTGGTTGTCATACGAATAAGCCAAGGTTTTAATGAATCTTAGCATTGCACCAATGGAGATTTGGCCCAAGTTTTTTTTAAAATGTCATGAAAAATGATTTAAATGACATAACTGTGTAAATCAAACTTATTATTGGAGAAAACTTGTCACTGAATTCAAATATGCTATCAAAAATAAAGAAAAGTAAGTCATTAGAGGTAAAAAGTGCAAATCTCTAAAAATCTCATGAAAAAACGAGATTTAGGGAGATTTTAAAGTGTACTCTATTGAGAAATATTCAGACAGTGAAAAAAGTTATTTCAGGGCCTTGTATTTTCAAACTAAGGAGTTATCGGATATAATTCCATGTATACAAATATTACTTGCACCAAATATCATTTATGCTTTTATGAAAATGCATACGAGGAATTTGAATTAATAAATCCATCCAATAACCCTGGTTACCACGCATGTCATTGTCATGTGACGTAAAATTTGAGTAGGTAGTTACCAGTTTCATAACCAGGTGGCTATAATCTGGGGCAGAGATCGTGGCAGGGTAGTAGTAGAAAGTTCCCTTAAACTTAAATATTTATCAGTTTTAGTGGTTCAATTTTCATATTACCCTTGTGTTGTTTCTGAGAGTAGTAAAATTAAAATATAGTATAGAATAGTAAAGGAATATATTATCTGTCCAATACTAGAAAAGATATTTCACTTTTTGTGATTTTATAATATGGATTCTCCCTGCCCAAGAAGTCAGATTTTCAAAGAAAATTGAATTTTCAAAGTTGATGAACTCTTTTTACAACCATGTTTCTTGATGTAATTTTACACATAGTTTTCAAATGATAACATTTGTCTAAATATTGAATGTTTTCTACTTGCATCTAGTTTATTAACCAGTCCATCTGTTCCACCAAAGAAACTGAGGTGTATTAGGATATTTGTGATGTCATTGGTATTAGATTCATAAACAAACATCGAGCCAGTGCCAATTTATTAAATGTTGATAAAACCTATATTTGGAACACTGCGACCCATTTACTAAATGTTGATAAAACCTCTATATGTTGAACAACTTCTAAATGGAACACTGCAACCCATTTACTAAATGTTGATAAAACCTCTATATTTGGTACATCTAAATGGAACACTGCAACCCATTTACTAAATGTTGATAAAACCTCTATATTTGGAACAACATCTAAATGGAACACTGCAACCCATTTACTAAATGTTAACAAAACCTCTATATTTGGAACAACATCTAAATGGAACACTGCAACCCATTTATTAAATGTTAATAAAACCTCTATATTTGGGACAACATCTTAATGGAACACTGCGACCCATTTACTAAATGTTAATAAAACCTCTATATTTGGAACAACATCTAAATGGAACACTCCAGCCCATTTACTAAATGTTAATAAAACCTCTATATTTGGAACAACATCTAAATGGAACACTGCAACCCATTTACTAAATGTTGATAAAACCTCTATATTTGGAACAACGTCTAAATGGAACACTGCAACCCATTTAATAAATGTTGATAAAACCTCTATATTTGGAACAACATCTAAATGGAACACTGCAACCCATTTACTAAATGTTAATAAAACCTCTATATTTGGTACAACATCTAAATGGAACACTGCAACCCATTTAATAAATGTTGATAAAACCTCTATATTTGGAACAACATCTAAATGGAACACTGCAACCCATTTATTAAATGTTGATAAAACCTCTATATTTGGTACAACATCTAAATGGAACTCTGCAACCCATTTACTAAATGTTGATAAAACCTCTATATTTGGTACAACATCTAAATGGAACACTGCAACCCATTTACTAAATGTTGATAAAACCTCTTTATTTGGAACAACATCTAAATGGAACACTGCAACCCATTTACTAAATGTTAACAAAACCTCTATATTTGGAACAACATCTAAATGGAACACTGCGACCCAATTATTAAATGTTAATAAAACCTCTGTATTTGGAACAACATCTAAATGGAACACTGCAACCCATTTACTAAATGTTGATAAAACCTCTATATTTGGTACAACATCTAAATAGAACACTGCAACCCATTTAATAAATGTTGATAAAACCTCTATATTTGGAACAACATCTAAATGGAACACTGCAACCCATTTATTAAATGTTGATAAAACCTATATTTGGAACACTGCAACCCATTTACTAAACGTTAATAAAACCTCTATATTTGGAACAACATCTAAATGGAACACTGCAACCCATTTACTAAATGTTGATAAAACCTCTATATTTGGAACAACATCTAAATGGAACACTGCAACCCATTTACTAAATGGTAATAAAACCTCTATATTTGGAACAACATCTAAATGGAACATTGCAACCCATTTACTAAATGTTAACAAAACCTCTATATTTGGAACAACATCTAAATGGAACATTGCAACCCATTTACTAAATGTTGATAAAACCTCTATTTGGAACAACATCTAAATGGAACACTGCAACCCATTTACTAAATGTTGATAAAACCTCTATATTTGGTACAACATCTAAATGGAACACTGCAACCCATTTACTAAATGTTAACAAAACCTCTATATTTGGAACAACATCTAAATGGAACATTGCAACCCATTTACTAAATGTTGATAAAACCTCTATTTGGAACAACATTTAAATGGAACACTGCAACCCATTTACTAAATGTTGATAAAACCTCTATATTTGGTACAACATCTAAATGGAACACTGCAACCCATTTACTAAATGTAGATAAAACCTCTATATTTGGAACAACATCTAAATGGAACATTGCAACCCATTTACTAAACGTTAATAAAACCTCTATATTTGGTACAACATCTAAATAGAACACTGCAACCCATTTACTAAATGTTGATAAAACCTCTATATTTGGAACAACATCTAAATGGAACATTGCAACCCATTTACTAAACGTTAATAAAACCTCTATATTTGGTACAACATCTAAATAGAACACTGCAACCCATTTACTAAATGTTGATAAAACCTCTATATTTGGAACAACATCTAAATGGAACACTGCAACCCATTTACTAAATGTTAACAAAACCTCTATATTTGGAACAACATCTAAATGGAACACTGAAACCCATTTACTAAATGTTGATAAAACCTCTATATTTGGAACAACATCTAAATGGAACACTGCAACCCATTTACTAAATGTTGATAAAACCTCTACAAATATCTAGCCAGTACTCATTTACTAAATGTTGATAAAACCTCTATATTTGGAACAACATCTAAATGCAACTTTGCAACCCATTTACTAAATGTTGATAAAATCTCTATATTTGGAACAACGTCTGAATGGAACACTGCAACCCATTTACTAAATGTTAACAAAACCTCTATATTTGGAACAACATCTAAATGGAACACTGAAACCCATTAACTAAATGTTGATAAAACCTCTATATTTGGAACAACATCTAAATGGAACACTGCAACCCATTTACTAAATGTTAATTAAACTTCTACATGTATATTTGAACCAGCAATGCAAGTTTTACTGTATCTTAACCTTCATACTTTTTATGTCTCCAGTGCAAATACAATACTCTGATATCTTGCTCACTAGTATGTCAAGTAGTTTCTTTTTATGCTGATATTACAAGCAACTATTGAATATATAGCACAAGCACTAACAGCTGTAGTCGGTTGAATATTAGGCTGATGAATGTCATTTCGATCTGTAGCATTTCGTACTAATGTGAACTTAGTTGGCAGACAACTGTAAAAATCACTAAACTTGACTTGGATTTAAGGATAATGGAGACACCAACTCTCACTAAAGAGGAGTGTGAATCTTTTCTCACTGACATTCTACAAATTCCTGACTGGAATGACCAGCTACAGAAAGACAGGGCAGAACTCCTAAATCATTTAATGATCAAGTACCAACAGAATCAACCATTTCAGACACTGACATTATTGAGGATAGATCCTAAAGATAGGAAGGTCCCAATGTGGCAAGAAATAAAAACTGCCATTTTAGCTAAGGAAGGAGGTCTGTGTCACACATCGAATACATTTATGTGGGCATTGCTGAAAGCTCTTGGATATGATGTATATCTATCTGTATCAAGTGTTATCACCCAGCGCGATGAGCAATACTTAAAGAAAAATTTGGATCATACAATAGTGATAGTCCGGGATCTGGTGGTTAAGGGGAGTTTGCATGTTGTGGACTGTGCGCTTGGTCTGCCAATACGCCAGGCGGTTATGATCAAGGACCCGACTCAAGATCAAGCCAGCCTCAATGATATCATTTATCAAGGTTCAGGTGAAATCTACAAATATGTAAGAACAGATGATAATCTATGCATTAGATATCACATACTCAAAAAAGACAAAATGGAACAAAAAGAATTGACCAATGACTGGAAATTATCCTATTGGTTCAATATCCAACCAAACAATTTCGCAGACTTTTATGATACCTCTTTCATGAGAATTTACCTTGGTGAAAAAGGTCCTACTGAGGAAATACACCGTTTTCACTATTACATACTACTAACACGGTTGAATAGAGAAAAGAGAAGGATCACTATTCGAAACCAGGAACTCCTTGTTGAGAATGATGAACACATCATGGATACCACCGACATCCCGTCACATGAGATCCGTGATTACATTCTCAAATACTTCCCAGCATTCAAAGGCAAGGAGAATATTATAGAGGAGGCATTCACAAATATGCAGAAAACGAGGGACAAACTATCTATCACATCCTTGGATTTAAAGGGAAAAAGACTATAATAGAGAAGACATTTGATTAAGCAGTTAAAATTAGTTCCACCTTCGAGAGTTATGAAAGCTGATTGATATATCCAAATGAGAACACTGTAGTCTCAAAAAGATTGTCACATTGGCCTAATCATGAAGATCGTCAACGTATCAAAATATGTAAATTGCGTCTTTGTTAATATACCAAACATAGAACCGCTTGCATATTCTCAAACTAGACTACATGTATCTTCCTTGGCTTTGAGCCAAATTATTATCCACAACTTGACTTATAAGCATGGTGTTAATCGAGGAAATAAAAATATCTTACCGAAAATGAAGCCTGGAAGTTCTTCCATCTTGTTACGCTGACGTATCGTCAAGATAAAGCAATAATTGATTCTTTGAAGAGTGGTAAATGATAAGGCAAGATGTGGCTCAGCATTTTTAGGTACAACTTGTGCCATCTTTCAAATAATTTAAAAACTAATTTAACGAATAATTGGTAGGAGTTTAAAAAAATAATTTGGAAATAATGGAAACTGTTTTTATTCATTTCATTTCAGACATCCTTTGTTGTTGAGTCTACTCTGTGTTGTTTATATACTTCATGGTTTATAAACAAGGGATATAATTACACTTGTTTTATGTTCTATACTATTGTATACTTGTTGTATATATTTCAGCATATCACATGGACAATGAGGACATGGAGGGGGGCCTATAGTATCTTGGATACTACAACTGTATTTTATGTATGGCATTTTACTGATGAGATATAGGAGCATATTATTGTATCAATCACTGTTTGTTTTTTCTTAGTATTTTTCATTTATTATAGAGCAGAGATGTATTGTTTATTTCATTCATGAATTATTATGCATTTTATATTCTTGCGCAATAGTATAGTTTCCATATAGCTTTTGAAATCTCGCTAAATCTCGTTTTTCGTGAGATTTTAAGAGACTTGCATATTAGACCTCTAATGACTTACATTACCTTCTTTTAAATGGTATATTTGAATTCAGTGGAATGTTTTCTCCTAAAATAGCTTTGATTTACACAGTTATGTAATTTGAATAATTTTCTATGACAATTTAAAAAAAGTTGGGCCAAATGTCCATAGATGCAATGCTAAAATTCTTTAAAACCGTGGATTATTTGTATGTCAATCAACATTAGCATGTTTAATCACAACATGTTCATAAACAGGGTCATCATGTGGTATATCATTCAAGTTTTATACAGATTCAACAAACACACTTTGATAAATCATGAAATTAAGCCACTTTTCCAAGATTTTAGCATGTAAGTGAATGGAGCTCTAGCCAGAGTTAAAAGCTGAATAAAAGATGGCAGCACGAGATTTCATTGATTTTTCTGCTATTTAGAAACTATCCTATTGGAATATATTCTCAAATTGATTATTTTGATATGCACCCATATTTATGGATATCTACATTTGATTATTCACAATAATGTACAACAATTATAGTAAATAAATAAGAGAAAATCTCTACCAAATGTTGCACGTAATCATATTTTTAGTTGTGGGTTTGTCACAAAATTTTAATTGAAAAGCTTTCTAACCAAAAAATGTGAAAATTATTGTCTGGGATACTTCTTTTTAGGGTTTTTATTGTTATTGCTTTTTATTTTTATTATAATTCATACATCCAAAAGGTCTATTTATATTAACAAGTTTGTGGGAATGGTCAAGCAGTTCACAAAATGAATTCTAATCAAAATTGAATGCAGAACTTTTTAGACAACCCCTTCAGTGATGTCAATAAAATTATTAACACAACAAATCTATAATTTTATTTTACAAACAATTGTTTATTGTATATAATGCTTAACTGTGCAGTAACAATACAATGAAGTGAAGGCATTTATAGCCAAGCTCATGCAATACTTATTTTGGCATACATGTATCTTAATTATTCACACATTTTATATACTAGTAGTAAGTATTATACTAGTAGTAATTTCTAGACTCCTTCATATTTTCTTTATGCTGTCAAATGTCCGTTATGTCAACTGGCAATTCACTAAAAATCTTTTTCATGCTTTGAAACTTTCAATTTTTCATATGGTCAAATTTATATTTGTACTTCAATACATACACTCATAAATGCTTCATAATGATTAGATTTGCCTTAATTTGCAAGTTTCATGATGTGTTACAGCCATTAATCATTTGGGGTTGTGAACAAGCTACTGTGGTTAACACACATATTTTATGAACAGTTTGGTATCTTTTGTTAACAATATCCAGGTCTTTATTGATTGCACTAGTTGATTGTTCTAGATTGTTGATTGCGTCAAATTTGTTCTAGGTTGTACCTACTCATAACAGATTGTTGATCACTATATACAATTATATCTGATTGTTCTAGATTATTCAAACTCATATATAATATTATCTATGCTGATTGTTCTAAACCTTTGGACATTCATATTTGATTGTCCAAGATAATCCATCATATTCTTACCCATATCTGATTGTTCCAGCATTACAAATACACTCTTGTAATAACACTATTCTAAATATAGAATGAAAAACTCAGTGTTATAAGTAATATACACTCGATTACAAGCTGATGTGCTAGTTTGTAATACATATGGATTATAGGGCTTTATCATGTTTATTGCTCAAATTGCTGAATTTGAGTATATTTATTGGTAAAATTGTTGTATTTGAAAATTGGTTAAATTTTTTCATTGCAGTGTATTCATTGCCTAAATTGCTTGATTTGAGTATATGTTATGTGTTGCCCAAATTGCTTGAATTACAATATACATTAAAACCTGTTTAAGTGAAATTATTTGGTATCCCTGAAAAGTGTTCCACTTATAAGTGTTCCACTTATAGAGGCTCATTTTACATTAAGTCAGTTGGTCTTGGAATCCCTGAAAAGTATTCCACTTCTATAGGTGTTCCACTGTATAGGTGTCACTGCATATGCTTAAAACATTCATTCAAAGTCACAATATTACAATACAAAATTCACCTTAATTATTAGCTACCATTTATAACTTTGAACAAATGATATGTTAAATTATTACAGTTTTGTTCAATGAGTTTTACATTCTCTCATTTGTGTTTGCATAATCTATCCTCTATTTACAATCTGTGTCATAGCAGTTTTGCAAAGTATTCGTACAGTGTATATCATAACAATATTGCATGGTCTAAATGTTGTATATATAATGGCAACATTGCAAAGTCTATAATGTACAGAACATACAAAAGTAACATTGCATAGTCTACATACAACTAGATATACAGTATTGATAACATTGCATAGTCTACAAATATACAGAATATATGATAGTAACATTGCATAGTCTACATCTAGATATATTGATAACATTGCATAGTCTACAAATATACAGAATATATAAAAGTAACATTGCATAGTCTACCACTAGATATATTGATAACATTGCATAGTCTACAAATATACAGAACATACAAAAGTAACATTGCATAGTCTTGCTTGAGAATATAGTGTTATAAAATATGTATTTACAATAATGAAAAGTGATATATATACCAATATTACAAAGCTATAAAGATCATGCATGTTATTAATACAGAAGAAATTACAGTACACTTACAGAGTATTTGTTATATCTGCTTTGAACCGTTGTCATGGTACCAAAAACACATTGTGGTAATTTGAAATACATAGTTTTGATATTTAATCATTACTCTTCTTGTAGTATTGTATATTGTTATTACAAAATACATTTTTAAATACACAACTTATTTTATATAAAGCATTTATAAATTGCATATTTGTAGTTAATTTGTGTATAATCATTGCTCTATGTACAATGCATTATATACCAGGTCACTCAATAAGTTCTGAGATAATTTTCTCAAATTATGTCTTTCATTTTAATGTCAAATGATCACACAAATTAAAATACTAAGTTCATTGACTAGTATGCATTAACAAAATATGGTTACTGTGGAGACTCCTGTTTTTAGGTAGGCTGATCAATAATCCGAGTGTCATAAGATTTTGGAGCCTTTTTCTCAGCTCTCAAGTTTTAAACTTATTGATCGACCTGGTATTTCTCCATCATTAATTTGACATGATCTTTCATGAGACTTCTCTCATAGCCCTTAGTATTGCAATTTTTACCCGGCAGCTCAGCCATTTCATATTACGAAAGTATGTTATATATCGCCATTTATTATAAGATGGCTAGTCAGGCCTTGAAAGGTTAAGTGTGGTGTTCACTGAAGCTTCAGAAGGCTTTGGACGTGCAGCGAAATATAGCAAGGTTCATGCATAGCCTTGTTCATCCAATCATCATATCTAGTGAAAAGACAGGCAGGTATAGGCACATATAGGCTATATACAGGCCATGCCTTAGCAAATCCTCTACTTTACAGCCAGGCATCTAGTTGCACACTGGATTCAATGTCACATTTATAGCTCATCTTAAGTAAATATAATAGTTACAGATTATAGTTACAGATTACTAGGCTTAGTTACTAGAAGTTATTGCTAACATCACTCTTAGTTACTGGGTGTTCAAAGTAACTATAGTTACAGTTATCTAAACGTTCAAAGTAACTACTGTATGAAGCTACGAATCCTAGAAGGTCAAAGTTCATAGTAATCTAAAAGTCGTAGCATTGGTTGATACTTCCACATTTCTGACATGCACCATTGGTTTCAGTATTCACTTGTCCCTGAAAGAAATAAAGCATTAATGTATCATACAGTAGATGGTAACTCTCTTTATTTGCTTTTTCATGTTTTTGCAGATGTGTATCTTAAGTGAAAAGACAGGCAGGTATAGGCACATATAGGCTATATTCAGGGCACTCAAATGACAGTCTTGATGATGACTGATGTATCTATTATTGGTATTATTTTCCATCTTGATATAAATGATAATTAGGAATACCTAATATGAAACAAAATTAGCTGAATGAAATGAGTTTGGGTAGTTCAAGCTAAATCTAGTCATTGAAGAACATATAAAGAATTCAGTAATCTTTAGTATTTTTACCAGGATTGCAGCCAGTACAAAGTTTGTAAAGGGAGATGAGAATGTAAATACATGTAGATTTAGCAGAGGTATTACAGTACAGTACAAAGTGGTAACCAGCATTGCATGGGGAAGAAACTGTAAGTTAACATGAGCACCTTGGAAAAGGATATTTATTGTGAATGCATTAATTGACATTACATTACACAGGGGTCCCAGGAAAGGATTGCTTCACTCGATCAGTGCCAGGGACAACAGTTTTTGCAACCAAAGCGAAATGAACAAAATATAACACGAACAGAGGTAAAGCAGAATAAACATTGAAAAGAACGAGTATTAGAATTTGTGATAATGTAGTATTGCATAACTTAATTAAATTAACAGTACATTATTATTAACAACACACTAAATCAACATTTGCAGGGTGTCCAAAAACCAGGACCAAAGAAAAATTCGATTAACCTTACAAAATATGCTCCAAATGGGCACTTCTCATCTCTATGCACAATTGAACATAGAGAGGAGAGGTGCCCAATTAGAGCATGATTTGTAAGGTATTGTAGGTTTTGACTCAATAAGCAGATTATCATCACCAAAAATTCACATTTTGGACACCCTGTTGTATCACAAGTATCAGTACTTGTGTGGTGAACAATTGCGTAATGGACATTATCAATTAGTAGTTCACATAACAGTTCATGCCAACCACAATGTTAAAAACACAAGCCTGTTGATACTTACTGCATACCACAACCTGAACTTGCGCAGTACGCCTTCGCACAGCTCTGTGTGCAATGGGCCTTTGTGCAACTACTTCTTCAATATGCCTTTGCACAACTACCTGTGTAATGGGCCTTTGTGCAACTACTTGTTCAATGCGCCTTTGCACAAGTACCTGTGTAATCGGCCTTTGTTGAACTAATTGTGTAACTGGCCTTTGCACAAGTACCTGAGTAATTGGCCTTTGTTGAACTAATTGTACAATTGGCCTTTGCACAAGTACCTGAGTAATTGGCCTTTGTTGAACTAATTGTACAATTGGCCTTTGCACAAGAACCTGTGGCACGGGCCTTTGTGCAACTATCCGTGCAACTGGCCTTTGCACTACTACCTGTGTAATAGGCCTTTGCTCAACTACCTGTGCAGTGTGCCCAATTAACACATGTGCATGGCTCCTAAAGCCATGTCCTACTTGATGCCCTAGAGTTAAAGTAAGCCAAACTACAAATAATCTCAAATGTGTCAAACAATACACAAATAAATTGTTTTTATCGAATTGAGTTATTATTTGCCACGATTATTCTTCTACAAATTATTTGTTAGATGTCTCTCTAGTAAAAATATATAAGCCACTAGATTTATATTGCCTATTCCTAATATAGCACTATGCCACTAAAATAATTTGTCACATTCTAAACTAATCATTACACCTCCTCAGTTGAATCAAACACAAGTGTCGGGAGCATATCAATTCTAAGTCACAACATTTCACAATACTACACAACAATTACCAAAAGGGTCCTATCATCCATTGGCTAAAATGCAATGATCACATACATGTATTCAGGACTGTACAATGTGAACAACCATGAAACAACAGTTAACTGCATGAATCCAGAAAAAAGAGTACGAAAAGATTGTACATACAAGAAGACAAGACATCATACCATTTCCCAAAACATCAACATAAGATGCAATACATATACTAATACTGATACTCCTATGGTTGATTGCGATTTTGAAGTAAATGAGTTTAAGATTTTGTTCAACAATATTTTGACATTTAGAATCCCACCATAACACTTAACAGATGTGATGATTCATATAATTGATACTGTTTTGGTGTCTATGTATGGTAACTAATGCCACCGTACCATATGTTCACAGTTCTCTGAGAAATTAGGTTGCCATGACATGACTTTAATACTTCAGAAAACAGTTTATGAGCTAAATTAAATTTACAGAAGTGTGTTACATTAACATTAGATTTAGGGTTTATGATTATGTTTTCATTTCTGTTATCATCCAGAGAAGATTGAAATGCACTTTTTATCTCTAGCTATAGCACACACAATGTTGACAAACAATGCAGATTTAACAAATCATTCTGGCAACACACATTGCTATCATAATAAACAAGCCATGCCATATGCACCCTTGTATCAATTGTATATGTAACTATGACAATATTTGGATCACCTCAAGTGTAAGATGTCATTAATCATGATGCAATTGACACTGAGGGTAATAAAGCAATTGAAGCACATGTTACTGTTGTCTATATACATGCAGCACTGATTTAAATGAAACAATACCTTCACTTGGATCCTGTGGGGGTTCTGAAGCAGTCGAGCAGCTTGTGGTTATATTAGACTCTGAACCAAATGCATGCACATTGGAGCCTCCTGCTGTGTAATATGGTCGATCTTCTGAGTTTGATTTGATCAATAGTTTATACCGCATGGCACTGTCTGATTGTCTACGACTAGAATAGTCATCAAGGGTGACTGATTTAGAAGCAACAAATGAAGCAGAAGCGGGTCGGGGTTTAGCATTAGAGCGACTTCTTGCAATAGACCTAGCCGTGAAGCCCTCTTGAGAGAGTGTTCGCCTGATGACATGTTCACGGGGTGGTGATGATCTGAAATATGTCCCTGCTGGTGGTACAAGTATTTCACAGACTATATTATCTTGTGAGGCACAGCGACGTAACACATGAACCTTACCCTCCTGTGTACTATCTGACATTTGTTTTATATTGCTAAAAGATGATGTTTTACGCAGTGATTTTTTAGGCCTTGACCTACCAAAACTACTGCACATATTTTCAAAGATATCAAGCAAATCATTGAATGACTTTGTTTGGTCTGTTCCAGTTTTTTCATCTGCTAAGAATTTCTCTACTCTTTCCTCATCAGATTGCTGACGTTTTGGTGGTTTGTTATTATCAAGGGGTTTAGGTATTGATTGACATGAGTTCACTGATTTGTAAGTCTGAGTTCCATGAGTAACATTTGTTGTAGAACATACAGTCTTTGAGGACAGGTTTGATGATTCAATTTTGTACTTGACTGGTTGTCTTGTTGATTGAATATTGCTTTGTACAGATTTGGTTATATTAGTTTGATCATTTAACATCTTAATTGTTCTAATAGTTGGAGTTTTATGTACTATAGGTTCACTAGCTACATCTTGTATAAATTCTTCAATGTAAGGTATAGGGCCAGCTTTAATTTCTTCCTTTCTGACAAGGTCAAAGTGTTCTTCAGATATTTCTTCATCATAGTTATCTTCCTCATCACTGTCATCTGGCAGAACCACTCTATATTCAGACATGGCACTGTCAGCAGCCAGATTCAACCTGGGTAAGGATGCTTGTGTTACTTTCACAGTGTCTGTTTGATATCTTTGTCCTTCAACACTATTGTTATGTGCTTGCTCAGTAGCCATTTGCATATACTTGGCATTGTTTTGTCGTTGTTTAGCTCTCTGTTTGATAGTTCTTGGTGTCTCTTTCTTAGCTCTAGGTTTAACAGCTGATCTCTCATAGCGGGGATCATCTGAGACAATGTTGCCCAATGAGTTGAACCCTACACTTAAGACCATTGCTTGTGTCAAATCAGGTGCACTTGCACTATGCTGAAGTCCTCTTTGGTTCTCAAACCTATCAACCATCTGGGCCATTCCTCTTGATAAGGAATTTCTTCTCACTGGTACTGCTCTGGTTCTAAAGAAATCATCCTCATCGTCAGTATATTTGTTCAGACTGTTTTGTGATGTTTGAGTTTCCACATTTATCCAACCCATGTTTTGAGCTAGCTTTGAATCTGGTCTCACTCCATAAGCTGGCAGTGGCTCTGGTTTGTTAGCAGATACATCTTTACGAAGACTTCTATATGCATAATCATCATGTTGTATATCTGCTTTACGTTCTGGTCTCAAAAGCATCCTTCGTCTCGGTTGATATCTATGAAGAAGATAATCAGCGGTGGTTGGTGATGGTTGTGCTTTCACATCTTCAGGTGCATCTAGACTAGTTGAAGAAAGTGAGCGTTTCATCTGCCTGTATGAGACATCATCAGAGAGAATGTCAGGAGCATGTGAGTGAGAGCGTTGGAGGGAGCGGTGAGAAATGCTATCCATAGAAGCAGCGGGGGTTAGTGCAGGCGAACAAGATAAATAACTCATGGTGGCTACTTCTACAAGTGGTTTGTTAGGAGCAGATTTAGAACGGTGTTTTCGATAAGCAACATCATCTTTAAGTTTGTTAGGCACAGCAGAGCGCCTTAATGGCACATGTCTGTGAACATCACTAGTAGAGCTATAAGATAAAGGGCGGGGAGAGTAACTAGGGCCTTCATAGGTTTCAGAAGCTGAGTCTTTCCCATGAAAAACATTATCATTTTGTACCTTACTAAATGAGTGGTTTTCGTTGGCCAACCATGACTTGGTATATTCAAAACTGGCTTGAGGGCTGCTTGTGTCCTTTCTCAGACGGTCATGATTACGAAGTAGTGTCTCAGAAAGTCCTTTAGAGTCATTATGATCTCCATGTCTTGGAGATATTGGTGGATAATCCCTTCTTTCTGCACCATCAATAATCCTTTCATTATCCAAGTCCAGGTCATTGTAAATATTTTCCAATTCTGTAATTATGTCATTAATCTGACTTTTCTTTCTCTCATGAGTTTCAGATACACAATGAACTGGAGCATCAGCATATGGCTCAATAGTTGGGGTTGAAGTTGACTTACGTAAAGGAGTAAGAAAATTTTTAATATCTTCCTGGGGAACCTTACCAAACATGTTGTCTCTTATCCTTGGAACTTTGTCTTTCAAGTCCTGGTTCCATTCCCTCAGATCTTCTGTTGACCTCGACCCAGATGTCCCCTCTTTTGGCTGGAATAGATTTTCTTTGATCTTGGTGATGTCAACTGATGGTATCTCATGATCACTATCATCAGCAGCTGATGCATCAGCTGGCCTCATTCTTGGGGGTTTTAGTGGAGCCACTGTTGAGGGTTGGACAGGGGAGAATGCGGATCTAGGAGCTAAAGGTTTACTATATTGGGATGCAGGTTTGAGGGCTGGAGACATTGGAGGTTTAGAAACATAGGGTTGGGGTTGACTATTCGGGACATGGGAAATTGGTTTAGGTTGATAGGTACTTTGACTTTCTTGTTTTGGTTGAAATGTACTTTGATTTTCTTGTTTTGAAATGATAAAAGATTGAACCGGCACTGGTTGTGTTGGTCTCATCATCAAATTAGACAGTCCCTTGGTTAGCTCTTCTCTAGCAAGACCCTTAGCTATTGAAGCGTCCTTCTCTGGAGTCCCTGGTGCACTCTGTGACTGTGGTGTGATGTTGATAACTCTTCTTCGTGTCAGAGGAGATGAATTCGAAAAGGCATTGTTTGTGATAACTGTTTCTTGTACATTAAGACTAGATGGTTTTTGTACTTGACTTTGAAATTCAGATCTTGTTGTTGAACTTGATGCTGGTTGGTGGCTACTAGTTGGTTGAATACATTGTGTTGTTTTGCTTGAACCAGTCATATTGATTGTAAACGTTGCTGACTCTGTTGAACTGATGATATTTGTTCCATTAAATACAGGGTTTTCAGCCCATGCCTTCTCTCTCCTTTTCTTCGGGTCATAAGCTTCATTGTACTTCAAAATGGCATCAAATTCTGTATCAGAGTCCATAAAATCTTCATCTTTCCTTTTTGGTACACTTAAGAATGGGCTCTGTGGTTCTTGTGAAGGCTTTACTGTTTGCAATCTTCCCTGTGTCTTTATTGGCTGATTATTTGAAGGCTCAGCTATGGTTGGCTGAGCAGGTGTTTGTCTTGGTTTTGGTGAAGCTCTTGGAGAACTAGAAATCCCAACCTTTGGGTCTGATCTAGGTGGTGAATTTGGCCTTGGTATGACATATTTAACCTTTGGAAGTACTGTTGTAGAGCTTGATGTTTGGTTTAATTTTGTATTGACAGATGGTGACACGGAGGATGATCTTTTCACTTCTTGTGTTCTTTTTTGTTCTTTAATCTCTCCAGTTTTTGGCCATACTTGTGTATTTCCAATCTTATGTAAGATTAGATTACTATTTGGGTCCGGTTTTCTAACTGGACTTGGTTCACGTCTCACAATAGAAATTTTTGGTGCTTCCTTCTTATTCAATTCTGTTTGAGTTTTTGGAGAAATAACAACTTTTGTGTGAGTAGTTGTTTCAGTTCTGGGCTTCTCATTTTTGGACCTTGCAGTTTCTTGATAATTTCTTGCATTAATTCTTGGACCAATTGGTGACCTGTCTCTTTCACGTATAAGACTTCTACTTATAGGTTTATCATTCCTCTCTGTTTTTATGGTTGGGATACTTTGGATTGATCTGGATGGTTGAACGCTACTAAAGGCAGATCTAGATCTTCCTCTCTCCAATTTAATCTCAGATGCTTTTGTCTCTGGAATCTTATTAACCATCTCTTCTTCTGCACTTTCTTCAAGTTCATCTTTGTAAGGTGACGACACTGGTTTTAATTTACTTTTGAAGCCCATCCACTCAGGCTTTGGTTCATTAATTGATTTAGCTTTTAGTTTTGCTTCTTCAAGTATGGGATCAGGGATTTCATCATCATCTTGGTCTGTTCTCTTTTCTAAGGCCGTTTTAACTTTTGTGAGTTTGTCAATTAATTCTGGATGTGCGTCACTTACACTTCTTTCTCTTTTTTCTTTCTTCTTGAACTCTGACCACACAGATTTGGTTTCACCACCATATTTTTCCTCTTTTATTCCCATACTCAGGGCTATTTCAGTGTTATTATCATCTACTTTTCGTATTCTGGTGAATTTTCTCATAAGTTCATTGTCATCTCCATCTGATTTACTGGGCTGTTGTTTTTGCCGCCTATTTCTTTCTTTATAGTCTCTGTAACCATCTATGATTGGCTTGAAATCCTCTTCTATTTGGGGTTGTGTTTGATAGAATAGGCCCAATTCCGAAGATTCTGTATTTAGGGGTCTAAAATGGTTGTCATATGGTGGTTTATAAGGTGATGTTGGCCCAGTACTTTTGTCTCTGTGAGGCATTATAAGGGGTGCTTTGTAGTCTTCGATGCTTACACTGCGTTGTCTATAGTGATGAATTGGAAGATCTACCCGCTCTTGGCCTTTGAAACCAAATCCTTGACTTTTAGGTTGTACAGGAGAGTTTGTCGAAATATTTGGTTTATTTTCCCACTTTGGAGACTTTGGAGATGTTGGACTATTGATGAATTGCTGGGACCTTTGAAGTGCTCGTTCTCTTTCCCATTTGTCGTCATCTTCTCTGGTGTCAAAGTCCCTATTTGGGATGTAAGCATCATATGAGCTTTGGCGCTTGTACTCTGGGCCTTTTTCCCCTGGAGACAATTGTGTAGGAGATACAGGATATTGGGTTGGAGATTGGGGGTGCAGCAATGGGGACACAGGGTGGTTTATGGGGGCAAGAGGGTGTTTTGAATGGGCAAAAGCTGGCTGTGTTTCTTGTTGTGGTTTAAATGGCACTGCATATATATCACTGGCATCTTGCTTGTGTACTGGTGGTGGCTGCCTTTGTTCGTCAACTCGATAACCAAGATGCTGCGCATAGTTTATGTCTTGGGCATGTCTCATGACATTGCCATGGTAATTTTGTGCTTGATCTGTACCATGCTGGCTCTTTTCTACTTGGGGAGTTGGGCTAGAGTAGCTTTCATGTGAGAAATAACTAGAATCACTTGTATCTGGATTGCTCAAATGTCCAGGATCATGTGCTGGGGGAACTCTGGCTGGTTCTGCAGGGGGTGCATTATTACGCGGGGGTTTCATTGGAGCTGGTCTGAAATCTGGCTCATTATATGGGCCATAAGGATGTTGAAAGGCGCTTGGATCTGGTGGTACATATCCCGTAGATGGAGGACCTGGAGGGTTATACATTGGCACATGAGGGTTGTTGAAATAGCCTTGTGGTTGTTGTGGTGGAGGATTTCTTTGTGGTAAGTACTGATTTGAATAGTAAACATCTTGATAAAAAGGTGGTGTTCCCATCTGGTCTATCTCCCATCTCTGTCTTTGATGATCTTGGTATCTCTGGTAATGACCTTCATTGCGTGGACTTGAACCTTGACCATGCCTTGTGTTTAGAGGTGTATAATGTTCAAGGTCAGGTGCACTTAGCCTATGATGGTGGTACCGCTGCCTCGGCCCCTGTTGTCTCATCTGAATCTCCCCCATATGTGGCTGGTATGGCCTCTGTTGTTGAGGTGCTGAACCAACACTGATGTTACTATTGCTATCGGATCTCCTACCACTTGACCTGCCTCTGCTGTGACCATTCTTCTTTTTGGCTTTCCTCTGAGTTCGCCTCAGCTCATCATCACTATCAGTGCTTTGTTCATGGGGCTTCTTTTCATCTAATGAGTTTACCCTTCTCATTGGTATCTCTGGTCTATTATTTTGATCTCGAGGCTGCAAAACTGTTCCATGAGGAGGAGCCCTATCCTGGGGGCTATGGGGCCAAGCTCCTGGTGGCCCATAATAGGCTCCTATATTTGAGTCACTGTGGTTAGAGTATTCACCAAATGTTCGATAGCGCTGCTCTGTGCGTCTGTTGGATCTTGGGGGTGGGGGAATATGCTGAAAGCCCTGTCCCTGAGGTCTTTCATAATACACCTGAGGTGGGACGTAGTTGCTATCCATATCTTACCTGAAAATAAAGGTAACATGAGTGAAATAAGAGAACCAAGTCAGTTTCTGCTATGGTAACCTAGATCATTAAGTATAATTAGATTGCAGATATCTAAAAAGTATACATTATAAAGTAAAAAGATTACTTAAGACAAAATCTTCATTATAGTATCAGTTTATGTTTAATGAAATCAATTCTCACAAGTTTGAAACTAAGTTGACCTATGAAAGTGTGGATGGAAGGACCAACAGAAGTGGAATTTATGTTGTAGGCATCTAAAGTGTAGAACAAGTTCAAAGGTATTGTTGATGGAAAATATATCCAAATTATGCCTAGTAAGTGCCACGTATTGACACAATGTTTGTTCTATTCTATATGCAGTGCAGGGTTGATGGATATGATAACAGTTATCAACAACTATATAGCATAAAAGTGTGGCAATTGTGTTTTTAGCTGGAAAACATAAAGTAGGTTAGTTTTTGTTAAGTTAAAGGGATAGCCAAGAATAAGTTTGGAGCAATATTTTGAAAATGCCCAATGTTTTCCTTATATATGCTTATGATTACATACATCTGATGAAAAAGGAATTGAGATATCAAATAGATATAAATGATAAGAAATGTCCAAATTCATTAAGATTGAAAATAGCCGTTATCTACTTTTTCAAAATAATTGTCAAAACCCTTAATTTTCATACTATTATTGTAAAATAAAGTGAGAGCTACTAGACCTTATAGAAAATTGACATGGTGTGAAATGTTATATTGCTAAAAGTTATTTATTTAGAAAGTTCTCAACTCATCTGTGTTGTGTCTGTGTTGCCCCTTTTAGAAAGAAATGAAGCAGCTTGTTTCGATTAAGCTTAATTCTACTATCTTTGGTATATGTACTGGAAATAAGGTTAATGATGAAGTCATAATGAGGTAATAGGTACCACACATAGATACCCTGTCATAAGAAACATAAGGAATAAATAATGAATAAAGTGACTGCAAAAATCATAATAACTTTGCAACCTCGAAATTTGAATAACAACTGGAAAAGCCCACCACTGTTGAATATTAAGTAACAGGATTTGTCTGTTAAGATTTGCAAACACAAACACCAGATTAAGAAATTGAATACTTTTTTACTGATTATCTAGCACCTAGTGATATCTTTATCAGAACATATGGTGAAAAAACTTTTTTCCACTACTTAACCAGTTTCTCTTAACTCTTAACCTACTTCATAAATATGTATTCAATCATCACATTGTCCCCTATTTGGTACTATTGATGAATGAAAATACTCTTTGTAATTATCATGTTTGGTGTATCATATATGATACAGTATCACGTCACATATGATGTAGTATCATAATTAGAATGTCAGAGAGCAGTACAAATACAAAAACAGAGATCCCAAAGCAACCAAAAATATAATTTTAATATGGCCCAATAAACTGTCAAAACTGAAATTAATCTTGAGAGTAAGGAAAAAATGTTGACACATTTTAAATGGGTACAGTGCTGAAGAATTTATTTCTGTGAATACTGAATATGTAAATGTACATACCTGTAAAATACCTGTTAAATAGTGAAATATTGTACTTTTGGTATACTGATAATCAACCGAAAGTTACAAGATTCCTTGAGTTGAAATCCCTGGGGAATAGCCAGGTTTAGTGTATTTTTTGAAAAGTGACAAATTGTAAATGCACACTGATGTAAACAATCAGGTCCATCTAAACCCCAACATTTTTTTTATATGGTCTCACCCCCCCCCCCAACTCAAAAAGCAAAATATTTAGTTTGGAATGAAAAATCTAAAATGTCAGAAAAGAAACATTGCCATCATGCAACCTTGGATACATATTTGTGGTGAGTACAGACAATTTCAAGTAAAACATGTATCTGTAATGTGAGACTTGGTGTGGAGTGATGAGAAGATTAAAGCAGTGGGATAGACTCCATATCCCACTTAGCAAATAGTTTGTACATATGGGTATATGTTACATTTTTACCCCAAATTTCAGGATACCAAAATCTCTTGCAGAGAGTCTATCACTGAGCTTTTCATTTTGACTATTTTTAGTTGATGCTTGTATGTTTTCATTACTTTTAGGTTTGAAGGACTTCAGAATTCATGTTTTTGTCGTTTTTTTAATTTATTTTTTTATTAATTATCAATATTTATTTTCAATAAGCAATTATAATACAGAAGAGCTTGCCAAACACCAATAAAGGCATTTCAGGCTAAGCTAGAATTTATATGTAATTGAATATGTTATCAAACAGAAAATGTTCCCATTCTACTTAAATGCTAAGTACTATAAATCATGAATTCAAGGTTGAAGGTTGAATTATAGAAAATGCTGAACTGTAAATCAGGTAATATATCAATAGAGCAAGTGAAATTATGTCAAAGTTTTTTGATCATAGAATGAAGAAATACCAACTCTAGCTTCTCTCGCTACCTCTAGCATATGATTGATTTGCCTACATATGATTGATTTGCCTATATATATATTATGGGTATATTTTGATATCTGTGAGTTTGTTTTTATTTCTTAAGTCATGCCTATCTGGCCTCTGACTAACTGCACCATACATGCAGGAAATGTATCCTTTTCAAACAGAACACCTAGAACTTGCCAAGTATATTCTACCTGTATCTGCTGATCTGAGGCAAATACCTGGTACAGGATAACCTGTCTAAGTAGAACACCTTTGATACCTCTGAAGTGTTCCACTTGGGAGGTGTTCCACTTGTAGAGGTTCATTTAACATTCAGTCAGTTGGTCTTGGGACTATATGAAAAGTGTTCCACAAAAAGAGGTATTCTACTTCTAGAGGTGTTCCATTTTACAGGTTTCACTTTACTTGGAAAGTGGAGGTTACACCAAGCATTGCCTTCTAAGGCACTTACATGTAACTTTACCTGCTAAAACCAACACATTAATTTTACTCTTAGATTATAGATGAGAAAATATCTAGGGTTTACAATCAGGTAGCACACTTTTCAACCATTTGGGATTCCTGAAAGTCTTGTGTTTCATTTCACTTGGGCATTAACATAAACATCATTTTGTTTCTGAGAAAAATCATTAGAAGGTGCGAGATTTGTTTAGCTTAGACTGGGACCAAGAAATTATTTATGGAAGAATTTTATATGAGTTTGTGAGCTCTTGTATGTACATGTAGTGAATTAGCAAAAATGGCAATATATGAAAAACACACCACAGGAAATGGTATACAGTATACAATATAGTAAATGGTACATATTTTCATGATTTAAAATATTAGAGTTATTCAGGAACATCATTACTAGGCCTTTGAATAGGTAGAATCCTTACCCTGCGTACAGAGCCTAGTTATGATCTACCAAGGCGAAGCTTTCTTTTAAGAAATGAAGTCAAATAAATGCAAAGGGTGTAGAATCATATGCATGTAAAAGTGCAGTTGATAGCTTCCAGACTTACCAGGTAAAAAGTCTATGTTTGACTGGTATGAGATAGATAGAGACATATAAATAAACACAGCTCTTAGTTTACCTTGTTACTGCTTAGATTAACCTGATTGGTGTTACATCATATTACAGTCTGCTGAATCTAATGCAGATTCTATACAGTAAAACTTCACCTCTTCACTTCAAACTTATTACACATTTTTTATTTTCTTATTAGAAGCATGTTACATGGACTTTTAGTGATACTTTTATTTCATAGTTGATCCTACTTCAGTAAACATGATGAAAATTAGTGAATGGTGGAGAAATTTTACAGTATACAATGTGAATATAAACATGGAAATTGTGTATGAAACTGTAAAACCTGAGTAAAATCTGAGTATGTATAGGATTATTTTGACACTGTTTAGATTGCCAATTTTGTCAATTTACTTTGGCTAAGATTCGATTTGCTATAATGTCACCTTTGACATAGGATGGACCTTCATTTAATTTTCGAACAAAGCTGACAAAATTATTTAAAAACATTAATATCAAATATTGTTCCACCAAATTCCATTACATTTAATTTGTCAGAAACTATTCCCAAACCAAAACGTGTAGGGCTGCATCATTCTATACTTTCCTTCTTGTTTTTTCTATTTGTATCAAAATCATATGATTTTTCATTGTCATTATTCAATCAAATGAGCTGAAAGAAACCAGTGCGGATACTAGAGATGAGTTCGGACTAACTTTCGAGACAAATATCACACTTTGACAAAGCCTTTTTTCCATGAAGTTCAACAGTTCTGACTTTATTTCATGATACTTTTTCGATTTATCTGAACATAATCAGACATTTTGTCAATTCTAATGAAGGTAGATATTTCTGTATATCTTAAATCTTTAATAACTTCTATATTTGTTCAAAATTCCTGTTTAAGATTGAAATAGTTGCACATGTAGTTTTGAAAGAATGATTCCAACGATTTCTTATTCTTCACTGCCTCTTTAAACACCTATGCTCTCTTGATAAAAAAGTTTTTGAAATTTTCATAATTACCTCTTCATTAAGTACATAGTATTGCATTTGTCTTGCAATGTTGTCTGTTGTCTTTCAATTTTGAATCCTCATCCACAAAATATCATTTCCTCATATCTTGGATATATTCAAAATGGCTTCTGTGTCTTAAAGAATCGTAAATCTCTTTTAACTGAGTACATACTAGAGAGTAGTATATTGCAATTGTCATACAATGTTGTCTGTTGTCTTACAATTTAAATCCTCATCCACAAAATATCATCTCATATCTTGGATATGTTCAAAATGGCTTCTGTATCTTAAAGAATCGTAAATCTCTTTTAACTGAGTACATACTAGAGAGTAGCATATTGCAATTGTCTTACAATGTTGTCTGTTGTCTTTCAATTTTAAATCCTCATCCACAAAAACTCATTCTCGTATCTTGGATATATTCAAAATGGCTTCTGTATCTTAAAGAATCGTAAATCTCTTTTAAATGAGTACATACTAGAGAGTAGTATATTGCAATTGTCATACAATGTTGTCTGTTGTCTTACAATTTAAATCCTCATCCACAAAATATCATCTCATATCTTGGATATGTTCAAAATGGCTTCTGTATCTTAAAGAATCGTAAATCTCTTTTAACTGAGTACATACTAGAGAGTAGTATATTGTAATTGTCTCACAATGTTGTCTGTTGTCTTACAATTTAAATCCTCATCCACAAAATATCATCTCATATCTTGGATATATTCAAAATGGCTTCTGTGTCTTAACGAATCGTAAATCTCTTTTAACTGAGTACATACTAGAGAGTAGTATATTGCAATTGTCTTACAATGTTGTCTGTTGTCTTACAATTTAAATCCTCATCCACAAAATATCATCTCATATCTTGGATATATTCAAAATGGCTTCTGCGTCTCTGAGAGAATCTTAGGCAGCTTTCTTTCTATTTAAAGTTGGAGTTGTTGCATACATAAATTCAAGCTCTTATAATCCACTTAAACTGGTAGACTTGATGTTAATCTCTATCACAGATTCAGTGGGATATATCTCAGTTTCTGAATTCTGATACATGTATGGGAATATGATAGATAAGGTCTGGCTTTGATGTTATCTGCATGATGTGCAGTATTTATATAATGTATTAATGAGTGGTGTGCAATGAATGTTATTTGTGGTGTGCAATGATTTGTTTGTGTTTACATGGGCGTAGTGCTACTTTTATGAGTAGTGCGCAACCACAGGAACACGAGTTGAGCTAATTGAAAAATGAGCGTTCAGGGGGGTCTTGGGGTCTGAAAATTTTGAAATTTGGTTGTATTTGCAACCCTCTGGTACGCCTGTGTGTACCAGGCATACTGGGGGCTCTGCTCATGGTTTATGTGCAATAAATGTGTACATATTTCTATTAATGCAGTAGGGGTATGATGCTACCAAAATTACTTTAAATAAGGAATATCTCTCCTATCAATGTTTATCTTTACCCAAATTGTTCTTATCACTTATATAATGCAGAGGATTATTTGCATTAATCCTTTCCCTTGTAATATAATTGTTTACCTGTTTACTTAGTCTAAATACAATAGCATCACATTGCTATGTGAAAGTCTTGCTTCAAAACGCTGGACCCGTTAAAGTAGATAAAGGGAGCGGGGGGTCCAGGGTCTTGAGGCAAGACTATTACATGTATGTGATTCTACACTATGTTATCCTTTCAAATGGTTTGATTTTCTTATTGAAGAGAGCTTAATCTGTATAAAACATCCTAAAGGGGCTTGTATTATTTTGTTCTTTTCCAATGTTTCCTTCTGTGCTTTATCATCAAAGATGGACACTAGGTCATTTAGGACATAAAGGGTGGCCCCAATGGACGTGACTCTCATATCTGATGAAAATACCTACCAAGGAGTAATTGGCTTCAAAATATGTAAATATTTTCAGTATTGTTAAAATACAAGATGTACTCATGAGTGCATCGAGCTTCAGCCCACTGGGTAGATTAGATAATGTCAGCAGAGGCGAACTCAATAGATCACGTAGCCACGTTAATGCCCAGGGTTGTGACCTTAATTCATACATTTCATAAGTGTTTATTTCTATATTTCCAGGCATGTTGAAACTGGGGAACATTTGCAAAAAGTTTGACTCACCAAGTAGATAAGATTACGCCAGGGAAGAGACGCTCCACAGAAGATATACACGGTGCACTAAGGGAAGAGACGCTCCACAGAAGATATACACGGTGCACTAAGTTCCACTGCATCTATATCCAGACATGAGCTAGTAGATTGTATCCCTCCATACTCTACTGAAGATCCTCCTCATACTGAAGGTACACAGATAATGTTAATTGATGGGCAACTGTTTTCCCAGGGAAAAACCATGATACATTCCAATGTTATATGGATATGTTCAGATGTTGAGTCTAATCAAGTATAAACATTTTGCTCAGTTTAAGTATACCTTAATAAGAAGAAATCAGAAACACAATGGGCAACATTAAAAGATGAAAATCAATTCATTACTCAACCCTGCCTCAACTGCATAACATTACTACCCTGAGGCAAAAGACCTGATAATAATACTACTACCCTCTGATGATGAAAGACAATTTTATTGTTTTTAGGCTGATAACATGCAACATGAATTGGTCACCAAACCTGAGTGAATATGGCAAGGTCAAGTTATTGTCTTTTATACAAAGAGTGAAGATGAAGCATTTCTTGAAAAATGAAATTACATACATGTAGTACCTTCTTGAGATCTCAAATCATTACTGATATGTTAATCTCGAAATATTCATTTTCATTTATTGTAATCAAAAGGTTATGTTTGTTAGTTTGTGTTTTATTAACCATATATTGATGCATTTGTATCTCTTACATTGAATAAGAATACTGGCACTTGATTTCACTTACCCGGAATGAAATATTCCTGCATTTACTGTAGTCTAAATTGTTGTCTTGTTTGCTTGGTTAGTTCTATCTGTTCAAAAGTTAGTCCCACCAGATACTACTGTTTGTAATGCATTAATCCTCTCTTGTGGTGAAGCTGGTGAAATCTACAGAAATAAACAAATGTGTTGGTCAATTATTCTTCAATTTTCACACATTCATCCTAATATTTCATATTGTTAACTAAGGTTAAAATAATTCAGTGTTTAACATTTGCTTTTGTATAATTGCTTTTCTTATTTAACAATGTACAATCAGACACATATTTCTGTCAAAACAATACAATAAAAATATGTAAGAATCATAATTCATATCCTTTAAAATAGAGGGAAGATATGATATCTTTTGAAATTGAGGGAGGATATTATGTTGCTTGAAATAGAGGGAGAACATGATATCCTTTGAAATAGAGGGAAGGTATATCTTTTGAAATGGGGGAAGGATATGATATTGCTTGAAATAGATGGAGGATATTATGTTGCTTGAAATAAAGGGAGTATATGATATCGTTTGAAATCGAGGAAGGATATGATATCTTCTGAAACAGAGGAAGGATATGATATTGCTTGAAATAGATGGAGGATATTATGTTGCTTGAAATAAAGTGAGAATATGATATCTTTTGAAATAGAGGAAGGATATGATATCTTCTGAAATAGAGGAAGGATATGATGTTACTTGAAATCGATGGAGGATATTATGTTGCTTGAAATAAAGGGAGAATATGATATCCTTTGAAATAGAGGAAGGATATGATATCTTCTGAAATAGAGGAAGGATATGATATTACTTGAAATCGATGGAGGATGTGCTAAACATTTTATTTACATGTATTCACCCTTCCCTTATCTGATTGGTTTGTTTCTGGCAGTTTTAACAACGATTGTACCCAAAAACATAAACCGAATCACCGCCACTAATTAACCATATGACTCCATGTTTGTCTTATCACAGCCATATCCTGCACAACAAAAAGCCTCCAAAGTACACTTGATGAGTGATGATCTCCATGACATTATCAGTATTTCTGTACCCAAACATTTTAGAAATCATTCAGATACTAGCATTATGTTGGTATCTTATGTAACATTATTAAATGCTGTGTATACATTATTTTTGAAATTCCAAATAATGTATGAATACTGATAGTGACTTTAACTCAGATATATACATAAGTCTGATATTTTTCTACCCCATTCGCTATTTAATCTCCTTAAAAAGAGTTTCATGCAACTACAACTTGGCCTCAGGGTATTCTGTGATCATCTTTATTATGTTGTTATAGTCTTCAACTTTTATCTTGGCAGAGTTCAGCAGTTGGTATTTGGGGTTTGGAGTTTGGTGTTTGTAACAAATGAAAGGTAGTGACATTTTGTTTGTTAATGCCTTTTATTTATTTTTCTGATCACAATTAACAGTTTTTTTGTAATTTTAGGGAGAATTATTCAACCCAATCGTCTTTGCCTCATAATAAATGAGAACATACTGTAAAGAGGTTGTCTGGTAGTAACTCATACAGGCGAACACATGGTAAGTGCAAGAATAATTTGGATGAGTAATAATTCATGAACAAGAATAATGCCAAATGTGAGAAAAGTGCAAGCTCATTACCTCCAAAACCTCATAATATTACCACTGATAGGTCAGTGGCATGCTCTTTCTCATCAATTGCATTGATGTCATCCTCTTGTCTGGTCACAATGACACTTTAAGCTTCAATATCATCAAATCAGAAATTATTGTTTGTTATTGCTTACTTATTTTCATTTATATTTGATTTAAAGCGACTCTCCAAGACTTTAGAGGTTGAAATTAGAGAATCCTGGTGAGGCGTTTGTTTTATTTTTTCTTCACTTTTGAACCACATTTTATTTTTTAATCTCTTAATATGACATACTCATATATAGTATTTATTACTCTCAGGGGTTTTAAATTATAGGTAAAATCATGGTATGTCCCTTTAACACTTGTTGGGATGGTCCAGGCTGCAATAGCATCATTGAATGCAGTAATAAGCTCTGTGATCAAATGATGAGGTTCAATGATGAGGTGCAACAGGAAACAGTTACCATGATCAACCATTACAGTACATCATATACAACACATACACCAGACAGACAGCAGGTAAGAGCAGGAAACGGATAATGATTCAAATGGCTTAGATCATGTCTATCCGCACCCTTAACTTGATCTGAGAATAACAGCTGCAAGTGAGCTCACCATAGGCAGAATTGACCAATTGATACATGATATGATATTTCCACCTATGCTTACCTATACCCATGAAGTAATGGCAAATATAATTCCTATGATTTCCCTCTTATATTTAAAAGAACTGTCTTATTTTTGCCTTTCTATACTGTTTATAATGTTCACAACATTCCTGTTTGCTTTATTCCTTGCTTATTCCACAATTTTTTATTGTATTGTATGATTCAAATCATGACCACCATCGCATCTGGAAGTAGTTTCTTGAATGAATCATGATTAGGAATCTTCAAATCTTGAACAATGATACAGTATTTTCATGTAATGCTACCCTCAATCCACCCATTGGATTCTCCACTCTAAATTATAATGAGTTTCCTCAACCAATAGTATAAGACTTAAAAAATGATCATTTGATATTTGGGAAATAATCCAGATCAACCTCGTCCAGGTTGATGATAATGTTCATTTCTTCACCTTACATACTCCTCATTGAGGGGTTGATACATGGCTATTCTGGTTTTAATTCATACCAGATCAGGACTCACAACAACAAATAGATTTTAATCCCATCCATTTTTACTACCTTCCTTGACCTCCAAACCTTCATATTGTCCTGGTGAAATGTTTAGAACAGGACAAAATGGCTGAAGAGAAGTTGAGGTTTTCATTCACTTGATTCAGTTTTGGAATGCAATATCAACTGCATATGTAACACTGGTCAGGCTAATGGTTTCATCAACTTTGAAGTATTTCTCATTTATCTGATTGATTGTCTTCATGGTCCTTGCATTCTAGGTTCAGATGATCATCATCTTGGTGATAACAAATAGATTAGACCCTATCATCTGTCATTGGAGGTAGAGCTTTAGTATGTTCAGTGTCCACATATTGTGATTAGATTAGAGATATAATAGAGAAGACAGAGTAAGGGTGTTATCATGATTGATTTTCACATGCAATTTCACACAAAAGACAAGGAGGTGGGTCTCCAAATATATTTCGAACAGACCCATTGAAAGGTTTTTCAAAAAGCAGAATAAAAATGCCAGTATGAGAAATATTAATTTTAAAGCCAAAAATCGATTACCAAAAAGTGTATTGCAACAGTTGTTAAAAAATTCCCCAACATCCCAAAATCAGAAAATATTATGACCCCAAAACAAGGTGACAAAGAAGTAAAGAAGAGAAGTCAAAAAAGATTAGAATGCCAACTGTGTTTTCACTGGGATATCTGTAACATATAACTTTCACATATCTCTTATTAATTTCCCTCACCACATGATATCCTACGTATGAGGGCCCCTTGGTAAAGCAAACATGAGAATTTGAGAACCAGAACAGGTGTAATTCTGAAAATTTTACCCAGCATGTCAAAAACTGCACCTTGACATACTGTTTTGAATGTTTAGATTCTGATGTCTATTTTATTACGAGGTTTTATCTGAAGGTTTGGAGTCCACGTGTTTATTGTCCACATCTATTGTTTCCATGGGTTATTGTCCACACGTCTATTATGTTTGACTGACCACTGATATATTTTGAAAAGTACAGTCTACAAAATTGTCTACTTTTCAAGGTATTTGCATATAAATTCACTGATGAAAGGTTCAGCATTCACTCACCATTCACTGGTGATCCACTCGATTACGCTGGTTACCGAAATGTTCGTTTCGGTAACAAAATGTCGGAACCTCGAAGGTACGATTTTTCTTTTTTCCTTATTTCACATGTTGTAGGCAGAATCCCACGACATTTCTATCACAAACTTATATCAGACAGTATCATATGTTTAAGAAAATGTACATATTTGCGAACATATAGTTCAGAAGACAACAGAATCGCTGGTTTAATCCCTCACTTAAGTTAGAGAAACGGTATTTCGAAAAACAGTTAAGATCTGCACTTTTAACCAATACCGTTTCTGTAACTTTAGTTGAGGATTTAATTCGACGATTCTGTTGTCTTCTGAGCTATTTTTTCGCAAATATGTACCTTTTCTAAATTATATGATACTGACATGTTTGTGTGAAAAAATGTCGTGGGGATTCTGCCTACAACGTGTGAAATAAGGAAAAAAGAAAAATCGTACTTTCGACGTTCCAACATTTTGTTACCGAAATGAGTGTTTCGGTAACCAGCGTAATCGAGTGGATCACCAGTCCAATTGATGTACATGTGCAATGTGCACTACTGTGCTAGGATTAGAGAATTATAAGTTTCAGATTATTCAGTGTTGATTGAAGTGTTAATTGATATGCTATAAGCTTAATTGAATTAGTACGAGTATATGTACATTCTCATTTTGATAGAGATCATGCATTCTGATACTCATAGCATCTCTCTCTGTTGTATCGCAGATGGATAGAGATGGAGAGGGCGTGGCTTACCACGATGGAGATCATGGTTTCAAGGGTGGTTATTCAGGGAATATGAAACATTCAATGTATTATGTTAAAAATGCAAATAAACAAATGGATAAATAAATAGAAGATCATGGGCCTTTTGGAGGGGGCCCAGTGGTCGATTTTTCAAACATGGGCCTTTTTGGCCTCATTTTTAAAATATGCCTCATTCATTAGCACTTTTTGAAAAATGGGTCAAAATATTGAAAAAGGGTCCCTGGTGATGTGGATGGAATTTTCCTCTCTTGAGCTGATTCAATGTTTTCATCTTGCTTGATAACACCTTGGTGCAGAGACTGACAAACTGACTTCTTATTCTAAAATAGAATAAAAGGTTCAACATAAACATGTTCAAGTAGCTTGCAGGCATTCCAGCAGTCTATCAAACAAAATCAACATCGTGAAATATTGAATTAATGATATAAATAAAATTGCTTGTAATCCTCAAAATGTAGTCTTGCTTCAAGGACTAGTAACCCCCCCCCGCATATACA